ATTCCATTAGAGTCCTCCTATCTTTGGCGGCTAATTTTGACTGGGACCTTCATCAACTAGACATAAAAAAAAAAGCTTTCTTGAATGGTAATTTAGAAAAAGAAGTGTACATGAATCAGCCCCCAGGCTTTTGTGCAAAAGGTAGTGAGCAGAAGGTATGCAGGTTGAAGAAATCTTTGTATGGGCTAAAACAATCACCGCGAGCCTGGTTTAGCAAGTTTATTTAGTTGTTCAACAAATGGGGTTTAAACAGTGTCAGTCAAACCACATTGTTTGTGAAGAAAGGTGAAGGAAAAATTGCAAAAACAATTGAAAGAGTTCTTAGCCACACAATTTGAGGTGAAAGATCTAGGTCCCTTGCGCTATTTCCTTGGAATTGAAGTTGCCCGCTCCAAAAGGGGGATATTCATCACTCAAAGGAAATATGTTCTTGATCTATTGAAGGACACTGGGAAGTTAGGGGTGAAGCCGATTGATTCACCTATTGATCAAAATCACAAGTTGGGTGATAGTTAGGGAGAATCTATAAAAGATGTAAAGCAATTCCAAAGACTTGTTGGCAAGCTATATTTGTCCATGACCAGACCTGACGTTGCTTATGTTGTGAGTGTTCTCAGTTAACATAATCCCAAGACTGAGAGGATTCTTAGATACTTAAAAAAGTTCCCAAGTGCTGGTTTGTCGTTCCAGAAACATGAGAATTTAAAAGTTCAAGTGTACACAGATGCTGACTGGGGACAATAGATGACAAGAAGTCTACAAGTGGATATTGCACTTTAGTAGGAGGAAACTTAGTCACATGGAGAAGCAAAAAACAAAATGTGGTGACTAAGTCTAGTGCAGAAGCGGAGCATAGAGCTATATCCCATGGAGTTGCTGAGGTTATGTGGATAAAAAGATAGTTAAGTGAACTGGGACTTACTGTTGATAATCCCATGTCACTTTATTGTGACAATAAGGTTGCTATCAACATTGCAGCCAACCCTGTTCTCCATGATAGAACAAACATATTGAGGTTGACAAGCATTTCATTAGAGAGAAAATCATAAGTGTGTACTCCCTATGTTAGCTCTTAAGAACAACTTGCGGATATCTTCACAAAGGACCTTCATCATCTGCGGCACAATAACTTGTGTGACAAGTTGGGCATGATCGACATCTATGTCCCAACTTGAGGGGGAGTGTTAAAATAGTTAGTTTTTTATGTATTATGGACCGTAGGGGTATTGTGGTCCTTTTACTCTTTATTATTCAATTAGTGTGTTGCCCTATTATATAAGAAAAAGTTGGCACTGCCAACACAACTTTTGCCTCTCCATTTTCTGTTTCTCTCTTCTTCTCTTCTCTTCTCTTCTCTCCTCTATCTTCCTTTCTCTGCTTCTTCCCTCCTTTTTCTTCTTTTTTCTACCCAGAAAACAGTTTCCAAAGCTACTGCCATCAAAGCTTAGTTTTATGAATCCTTCTTCTGGAGCAATCCAGGTTAGAATAGGGTTGACCTTAGCTTTTGAACAATTTTCCACCACTCCCCAATTCCACCAAATATCATCAAAGGTAAACTGGGAGAAAAGATTTTAAGTTTTAGCCCAAAGCATAGCTCTTCCGATGATATATTCCCAAATAACCTCCACCCTTTCTCTATCATTGAAAATCCTGACATTCCTTTCTTCTCAAATGGTCTAAACCAATGCAGCTCTGGCACATCTCCAAAGGACCCTACCCCTTCGCCTAGACCAGCTGAAGCTGAAGGTAGTTGGGTTGAAAAGATCACTGATCTGTAAAGGCACTGACCACCAACACCCAAAAAGTACTAACAACTAAAAACCTTTCCCAAAAGCTTACAACCATCGGACAGGAAAACAAATACGTCGTAACAACTCTCACCATTAACTTTACAAAGAGTAAACCAGTTAGGAGAAAGGCAAAGAGAAGGCGTTCTTTCACCATTAGCTTGATGTCAATTTTACCATAAGTGGATACCAACTTTTCTCTCCCAAACTGTCTTCAATGTTAATTACTTCTCCCATACACTTTTTTTTGAAGAGTAAAATAAAAATTCATTAAAGAAAAAGAGATTACATGAGAAAAGTGACAAGAATCACCCAAGAGAAAGCAAACACTAACAAACTTACAACCATGACTCCACAGAACAAGACAAAAGACTTCACACTTTCAGATCAAACAAACTCCTAACTCAAAAAAACCTAATCAGAAACCATACCCAATCTCCTTACATCTCCTCCTCAAAACCTTCCTCCTACCTGTTAATTTCTTCATCCCACCACTCACCCCTCTTAAACTCCAAATTCTTCAACCTCTCCTCCAACCTCTTTCTCTCTAACACCTCGAAAGTTTTCTTAGAAAACTCCTCACCACTCCAAAAAATTAATCTGAGACTTTTACGTATCTCAACTTATCTCTCAACAATTTTCTAGATAGGGACTCTACTAGACCCCTCCTGCTCCTCAACACTTCTATCAACCAATCTCACTTCAGAACTAATGGCAAGATCATTTTCTTCTTCCACCTTATTATCTGTACTGCTGAGTGCCCGAGAAACCACCTCCCCATGCTCTTCCAAAGATGATGCTAAAGCCTTCCCCCCTCTTCTTTATAAACCTTTTTAAAATTTTTTGTAGGTCCAGCACCAACCAAACCATGTTTTAACCAAGAGAAAACCTTGGTTATATGGACAATGTTAGGATTCCTAGCCCCACGTTGTTTCTTGGGAGCCTCTTCAACCGGAATTAACTGCATCTAAACCTGTCGCCTTCCTTCTTCCTAGGTCCACACCAAGCTTTCCTACCACCACCTCCTCAAAGGCAGTTACTGTTTCTGCCACACCTGAAACTTTCTCCAACTCCTCCCTCCTTTCCGAATCCACAAGAAAGCTACAATATTCTCTCATGTCAACATTGTAGAAATGCAAGATGTGAGATATAATAAGAGCATTATTGTACTTACAAATGCCACTTGTAACTCAAATACCAATTAGCCACATTAACAAGAAAGATTAAAATTAGTAGACATAATGAAAAGAAGGATTAATATGGCATGCTTACAAGAAACCAAATGGAGTAGCAATAATAATAGATAAGAATATAAAAACTGAAATTGCAAATGTTAAGAGAATTGAAAACAGAATAATTTTAATTAAACTTGTTTTAGGTGAGGAAAATTAAAAATACTCACACATTTAGTGCTTATACACCTCAAGTGAGTTTAGAATTAACCCAAGAAATTCCAAATGAAGAAAAGATTTTTATAAGAGCAGATCTAAATGGGCATGTGGAGTAAAGAAGTATACGATATAACATAGGGGATTTAGGTTTGGGGAGAGTAATGAAACACAAGATACAATTTTAGAAGTTCCAATAGCTTATAATATGGCAATAATAAAGGCATATATTGGAAAGAATGAACATTTCATAACATTCCAAGGGGAACATAATGTAAAATCACATTGGAGTAGACAGCTAGTAGCAGTCTACATGCATGTTAAAACATTTGGGGATATTTTTACTCCATTACTTTTACCACTATTTTATATTAGACGCCTCTATGCATTTCTTTTCTTGATTTGGTCAACCCCATGATGCCTCTTGGAGTTCATAACATCAGATCTCGATCAATTTGACATTGTTTGATTGAGTGTATCATTCAGGGCCCATTCGTTTTTTGGATTTTTAGAGGGGGGAAGTTGGTCAATGGGATTTTGGTTCCCATTGACCAAGATACCCATGTTCTTTTTTCAGACTTATGGGGTCCACAGAAAACTTATTTTCCCTAGGTATCACTTACCCGGTAAGTAATACCCATCTCCTAGGTGGGTTAAGTAACTTTTCCACCAAGGGGAAAGTTGCCAACACTTAAATGGGACAAAATTGTCCCTTTTAATAATGGCTTTTATGGCTAAAATTTTCATTGTCTTATTCACCTGGGAAATAAAAGAACATAGGTAAATGCACTTACCTGGGAAGTGTTTCCTGTAACTTTCCGAAAAGCAAACGGGGCCTCAAAGTGCCCTTTTGTTGCTTTTGTCCTTCAATTTATTATCCACATATTGAGATGTCCACTTCAAGCATCACCAATTCACCTAATGGTTGTTCCTTATTTAAATGAAGTACCATTAATAGTTATTGTCTTCTGATAACAAACATATGCCTTGGTGGAACCAATTTTTTGGAGTGATCACAATTAGAAAAGATACGTATATGGGAAGGGAAAGCTAGGGAATCTTACAAGGAAGATTCCTGGGCCTGATATGGAAGAATTGGCACAAGAAAATGAGGTCAAGAAAAAAACAGTCATGCATTGATTTTTGAACTCTATGCAACCTCAAACTAGCCAAGTTCTTTTACTTCCTGAGAAGCAGCCCAGAATTGGGAAAGAGTAAATTGCACATAAGAACATCACCAAGATTTATCAACTTCACCAAAATACTACTACATATTGAAGGGAGTTAAACCTTCAGGCATACTTTTAAATTTTACAGGGTATGTAGGAGAAGTTGGATTGTTACTAGATTGTTACGTTGTATATCTAAAAAGAAGCCCAAATGTATAAGAAACACAATGAGCAGAACCATTTTTTTTAATTTCTTAACGGACTTAATCCTGAATCTGAGATAACAGGGATGCAGATATTGGGCAGAAGTGAAATCCCTTCTATAAATTAGGTATATTCACTTGTTCATAATGAGGCAAGCAGGAATGTTCTGATGAAACCTCCAGTAAATCAAACAGTACTGGTATCCATAAAAAGGATCATTACCCAAGGATGGTCTCAACTATCCGTGGTCTTGTAAGGGGTAGACTGGATACGGACATAAGTAACTGCTCTTAGCCTCAAACCCGCATTCTCACACTTGTCAGCCCAAGATTTTTCCATTGCACCAAGCAATGGCCCCTATAATTTCCAATAGATACATATCAAGAAAATTAAATAAATAAATAAAGACATCACATCACAACTATTAGTAGGGTCATTCCATCCATTTATACCTTTTCTTAATATTATCAATCGGCATATTCCGATTGACTCCAAGCACATCATAAGGGCAATCAACTTCAACTGCCATAATTCTTGTGACCTGTTCGAAACCGATGAAATCAATGGATAAGATAGAAAGCACCCTACAAAACAACCAGAAAAATAAACCAATACTCCCTAATAACCTTACTACTACAATTTAAGCTGTCCTTAATTTCTCAAATACTGACAACTCTACTGCCCAGCCATGATTAAAGGAATTCTAACCTCTTGCTAGTTGCTATCTACCACCTCATTTACCTTTACCATGAATAAAAGAATTGAAGCCATGATAAACCAGCTTCAAGTCACTAGCTTTTATGTTATATATAAGAAATGTTTCCACATGCCCCTGTAGCTATGGAAAATGCTGGGTATGAAATTGATATAAAATCTAGCAGGAAGTCTAGGGTAAATAATTAGACATTTAACATGCCAGCATGAATAAGATCCATGTTAACCACATTTTATACTCTTTTTGTATCCATTAACCACATTGAGCTTGGTGGAAAACAATTCTTATCACATTAATCCATAATCCTCATCTACAATATTTACTACAACAATTTCAATGACATCAATTTTCTCACCAGCAACAACCGAAAAGGATAAATATGCATAACAGATTGATTTTTTAACCTCTTCAAAGCGCTCAGCCTCATTTGCTGATTCTGCTTCAACAACAACAGCAGGTGGTGGAGGACCTATAAATACACTGACATCACCCTCTAGCTCAGCTTCCCTGAGAGGAGAGAAGCAAAATATCAGTGATGACAAAACCCCCAAAGGTTTTGCAAAACCAGAATGATGGCAATAGGGAGAAAGTGTCAACAAATGTCAAATGTGGTTAATTGGGCCAAAAAAACTCTCCCTCTGTTAAAACCCATAATGTAGAATGACTTTGTCTGTGTGGCAACAATAAGGCTCCAACCAATTGGACGGTTGCTCAAGAAGTGATCTTATTAAAAAGTACCTTAGCACAGCCTCTGCCTCTGTTAATTTGGCTGCTGCAGCTAGTAACTCAGCAGATGGCATTTCAGGACCAATCACCCTACACAAGCCATGAATTATGCATCATAGGAACATAAATAAAAAGAACATATATGCAACTAATGTGAACTTATCAGATAATCCATTCTGCATTTGTGTATAATTCAGACATGAAAATACAGATCAATAGGAAAACCTTAGTAGCCAGGATAATCTGCATGAAGGCCCAGTAGTATATATATATATATATATATATATATATATAGAGAGAGAGAGAGAGAGAGAGAGAGAGAGAATATAGAATAGTAATTAAAGAAATTGTATTACTGAGGGGGGAACCCCGGAAAAAATCCCTTGAGAGAGAAAAGGGCAGGCTGTGTAAACCATGCACAACATTTACATTAGATTCGATAATTAAAATAGCCTAAGAGCCCCATTATATATATTATGTAAAAATATGACATTTCATATTAAATTTACCTTTTAAACATTTACTTTTCAACTCCAATCATGTACTTAGAGATGGATACTACTTGTGCTAGACTGCTATTGAACAAACAAAAATTAAAAAAAAAAAATGTAACAGAATTTAGAATTCAAACTGAATGAGTTCTGGCTTTGCTGCTTTCACTTCTATAAGCACAGCTCAGAGATCTGAAGCATCCATGGTCGAGAGTTGCCCGCCAGACAACTTTGCAATTCTGTTTAAAATCTCGTATGACCATAGATGATAAGGCAGCCCCAGAATTCTCATCTCAATGCTATCTGTTGGGTTTACAATCTCATTGCAACTTGGGAACCATCTTTCTACCACTGCCATTCCTTGCTTTGTTACTTCCTGTTACGAAATTATAGGCTGTAAATATGTAGTATTAGCCCAATTAGGAATAGCTTGATTATAGGAATTATTCTTTCTTTGATTTACTTCCTATGTTAGTATCTGCAAGGCTGTATGATTTTCTTCCTTTTTTGTATCTGCAAGGCTGTATGATTTTCTTCCTTTTTAGTATCTACAAGGCTGTATATATGTACTATTTTCTCAATAGAAAGAAA